CTGGGATGTCGGTCGACTAACAAAAGTTATATGCTTGATTTTTAGGATTGCATTGAATATTGAACAAAGAGCATGTTAGTCAAGCACTTTTTTTTCTTTATGTGCATGGTTTTCAAATTTTGTGTTTGAGTTTTTTATGTGTATTTCTAAAAATGGCATATAGTATGGCAGTACCAAAAAAAGAAAAGTAAATAAAAAATTGACCGATGTCAAAATATTAGAAAAGAGTGATCGTTCCGATTATGAGAGCACAGATGATGAAGACTAGAGTTGTGATTCTTTGAACAAATTAGAAGGAGGTAGTGATTTTATGGTGGGCACCATAGAAACATCTAATTCTAATATAGCAGACAACAATTACCTGACACATGGACACAATGTACGTGTGCTGTGACTGCCCAGAGAAACCAACTGTTGTGAAAAAATACTATAAATGATAATGTAGTGATGCATTACTGTTTTCTACATAAATGACATTTCATTTGCAACAAGTTTATAACTTTTGTATTCTTTTCTACTATATTATGTATTATATATAATATTTAATGTTATATAATCTTTAGTGTTCAGCATTTGATGCCTAGGTATATGCATTTTTTTATGATTTTTATTTTGCTTCAACATTTTAAAACACACTGGTTATCATAAATTAAGGAAAAATCACAAAAATAGCGATAACTCCCTCAAAAATAAGTCAAACCGTGTAAAATTTGAATATGTTGCCAAGTAAGAGTAGCTGAGTAAAACTGCAATATGCAAATTAGTGGCGCAGTACTCGGAATACATTATCTGAGATAGCCAATTTGTAACAATGACCTCCAGGCGTCATTTGCCTGCAGAACTATGATAGAAAGCCATTGGGAGATTAGAGGCAGGACAAAGTCAAACAGAAGTGGCAGATGGCTAAATGCGAGTCCTTCTGTGGTTCATAGACTTTGGAGGCAATTTCAAATCACAGATTCGGCACCTAGGAGGTTCAGCCAAGGACGGCCAACTGCTACGCCGAGCGCCGATGACAGATATTTGACATTACGTGCACTCAGGAATAGAACCGCTACTCCGACTCTTCTTAGATCATCCCCTGCTACAGCCACCAGAAAGTTGATGTCAACGTCAACTGTGCGTAGAAGGCTTCACGAAGGTGGTCTGTATGCGAGGTGAACCATTTGCGAGCCGCTCAAGTCCCGCCATAAGAAGGACCATTTGCAGTGGGCACGACAACATGTCCACTGGACGCCTGAGCAATGGAGGGCTATTCTCTTTACGGATGAGTCCAGGTTTAGTCTAGAATGAAATAGTAGGCATTATTTGATATGGAGATAACCTGGAACCCGCTATCATTCGTCAAACATCCGTGAAAGAGATGCATACGGAAAGAGGCAGTGTCTGTGTTTGGGGTGGCATCTCTTTGGGTGGACGCATAGACCTCCGTGTTTTTCCAAGGGGAACCGTAAATGCTCATGTTTATAGAGATGACATCCTTGATGCTTATGTGCACCCATATGCTGGGGCAATAAGTGATGCTTTTCTGTTACAGGACGACAATGCAAGACCACACAGGGCTTGCATCCTATATGATTATCTTCAACAGGAAACAATTATGTGCATCGAGTGGCCAGCTCAATCCCCGGACTTGAATCCTATCGAGCAAGTTTGGGATGCTTTAGGGAGACGTCTAGCTGCTCTCAATCCGCCCCCTTAGACCCTTGCCGCGCTTGCAACTGTTTTGCAAGAGCAATGGCTCTCGCTTCCTATGGAACTGATAAGATCGCATAATTAAAAGCATCACACATCGCTAAATGTGCTGTATTGCTTCTAGAGACGATTATATTCCACATTGAAGATACTTTTACTATAGCAAACTGACATCTTCGATTTGTCCATTTTAATCATGTGGTAATTTCTATATTACCATAATTCTCTGGTAATTTCTTTTTATGTTATTTGATACCTTACTATGTGTTGTATATTGTGGGTAAGTTTCATAAAATTCTACATGTAACTTTTCAGTAATTGTGATTTTTCCTTAATTTATGATAACCAGTGTAGTAGGAATAATTCAACAACGGCAATTCAATCTGTATTTTGTGCTTCTTGTTTGAAAAGATTTTCTTATAGTCCAGTTATATGTTTTATGTCTTTTATAAACTGTGGTTTTATGCAATATGTCAATAATTTTGTTTCAAATTTAATCTAAAAACCCAGCTATTTGAAAGCAATATGTTACCATGGTCAGAAATAAAATACTTTTCTTTTCCTTGCATGAGTGTGTTGTCATTCAGCAAAGTTAAGATACCACATCTAACTTTCAAATTTCTGCTATTAACTATCAAACTAAGTGATTTAAAAGCAATAAATCCAGTTCTAGATTACTTTTTTTTTTTTTAACTTTATAGTCTTACCAATTTAAATAAAAATGCATTTAAATGTTTTTCTTGCCTAAATGGACTCGTGCATTTAGTCTGTATTGAAATTCATTAGTCTGTATTGAGATTTTTTAGTATTCATCATGTTTATTCCATCTTTTATATCGTGATATAGCTTTAAACTCTTGATTTTTTTTTTTTTACGTGGTTCTTTGAGAAACATTTACCAAGACTTGTTGTAGAAGTTGAAAACTACATAAATAATATGTATGCTGATTGCTATAGAATGACAGTTATGTTCCGACATCAAATTCTTAAACAAACAAAATAAATAAATAAATAAAATGAAATAACTGATACACTGCTCTACATTGAAAATGCAACACCAAGAAGGAGTAGTCAGAAATTTATGCAAATTTTAGAGTAGACGCACGTCACTGAGTTATGCGAATGATGTGAAATGCGCAGCTCTCCGATGCTCGGGAAGTAAGATATAAGGGAAGGAACGTGTAGAATGGGCAGTATTCGTGTCATTATTTCTGCCAGACGAATTGAATTATTGAAGAAAGTTTGTAATAGGAGAGAATGCCATGCCGCCGTCCACTTCCAGCAGACAGACGATTTTACGAGGGGTATGGTGATCGGACTGAGAAGGGCAGGTTTGGTCCTTATGTCAAATCGCAGCTGATATCCACATGGATGCGAGCACGGCGCATCGGTTATGTCGAACATGGTTGGAACAAGGAAATGTGGGAAGAAGGAGGGTTGCAGGTGCAGCCAGAGTGATGTCAGCACTCATGGAGCGATGCATCCACCGACAAGCTGTGGTGGTCCTACAAGTCACTTGTACCGTGATTCTGCAACATGTGCAAGATACCCTGGATGTTCCCGTGTCGACCAGAACCATTTCCCGTCAATTGATTGAATGTGGCCTGCACTCACGGCGTCCGCTAAGAAGACTGCCATTGACCCCACAGCATAGACACCAATGTTTAGAATGGTGCCGGACTGGAGCGATGTGGATGACAGAATGGCGAAACGTCATGTTCTCAGATGAGTCACGCTTCTGTTTATCCAGTGACAGTGGCCCCATTCGTGTGTGGCGTGACATGGAGACAGATCTAATCCGGCAGTAACTTTGGAATGCCCCACCACGCGACAACGTGGCATAATGGTTTGGGGCACTATTGCCTACGATTCCAGGTCTGCTCTAGTTCGTATTCAGGGCACTATGATGGCCCAACGATACTTGGATAATGTACTGCAGCCGGTGGCAATCCCCTACCTTCAGGAGCTGCCTAATGCAATTTTTCAGCAGGATAACGCCCGACCACACAGTGCTCACATCTGCCAACATGCTCTGCAAGGTATACAGATGCTTTTCTGGCCACCGTACTCTCCTGATATGTCACCTATCGAACACGTGTGGGATGTGATTGGATGCTGTTTGCAGACTCTGCCCCTGCCTCGTTCAGAAGACGAACTGTGGCAAATGGTTGAACGGGAATGGAGAGCCATCCCTCAGTACACCATCCGCACTCTTATTGACTCTATGCCTAGACGTGTTTCTTTGTGCATCGCTGTCCTTGGTGGTCCTACATGCTACTGAGCTGACACCGTTCTCGCTATTTATTCTGACTATCATTTTGAAGTAAAGATCACTTAAAGCTGCTTGCTGTCTCTTTTTTCCAAATTTCATCACTTTCTGACCACTCCTTCTTAGTGTTGCATTTTCAATGTCGAGCAGTGTATTTAAGTTGATATGAATATTTCTAATATACATTGAAAAAATACAATAGCATATCAAAAGTAACAAATATAGTTGAGAAGATCTGAAGAAAAGGAATAAGTTGATCCAGTTTTCTTACTTAATTGTTAAATACTAAGATGCTTTTGTGCACTGAAAAATAAAATGTTTTAAATCACTTTTCTTCATTTCAAGTCTTTTTGGAACGAAATTAAAAATACTGTCATATTAAAGAAATTGTATAATGAACCACAATATTCACTACAACTCTATAATTTCTCTTGCGTCAAAAATCTAAAACCATTGGACTGGACAACTGACTAAATTCACATCACTACAAAAGCAATACTTTTGATTATTATTAAATTATGAAACAGGAATGCATTTTTATGAAACTTTACTAGCTGGATGGTATGAAATTATACTCAACTGGATTCATAATAATCATTATATAATTATTCCTTTTTTTATAATAACTTAAGCAGCTAGCTAATATATTAAAAGAATGAAATTTTTAAAAGTAAAAAGAAAAATTTTTTAACATACTAATTCCTTTCTTTCATTTAAAATAAACAGAATTTTTCATTAAATAGTTATGATACACTTTTGTGAAGCCACATAGTATATCACACTCATCCATACACCTGAATTTATTACCTTAAGATGGAAGTTAGTAATGGTTATAAAATAGTTTTTCCATATAGGAATAAGAAATATCAACACAATAAATGTATCTTTCACAAAAATGAAATTTTGTTTATAAAATAAAAATGGAAAGAATATTAAATTTTCAAAGCAATTTCTTTTAGAAGATTATACAAATAATTTTATGTTTTATTTTAAATACAGGAGACATGTTGAATAAAAGAAACTGTTTAAATTACTGATTCAATTATTCAAATAATTTTTTATTATCTATATTCAGAAGACAACACTCATCTTATTTCATAAATCAAGAAAAAGCAATTCTAGACAATGTCCTTCCTTTGTTGGTATAAAGTTCTTTGCCTATATTTATCAATTTAAAAAAAAAAAAAAAAAACATACATCTATTTCACTGCTGGCTGGCTCTTCAACTTAAGTTCAAAATATGATTTTTCCTTCTGGTATGTAATAAACATTGCTCCTGCAAAATGTAACGCTGCTAATATCGAAAAAGCTCTCGTATTCTTTTTAACTAACCTTAACCAGACATTCAATGTTTCTTTTGGAGCACGGGTAAGAGAAGGAACAGGATATGTCAATAACTTATCAGCCAAAAAAAACCCAATTATTGGTGCTAGTATCATAGGATATACTACACCAAATGCAACATGGCCTAATGAAGCCCTCAAACTTACACATAGTGGACAGCTTTTTTCCATTAAAATATCTTCTGTGACATATATTGATTGCAGTGCATATGTAAAAAAGGAAGCGAGACCCACAACAGGTGTATAACAAGTAAGTCTTCCATACTGTCTGATCTTTAATTGCTTTCGAAAAAAATGTATAATGTATATGCTACTTCCTATGCTCATAGTTGAAGCTATCTCATCACCATATACAAAAGGCCACCTAGGAAGAAAAATCAGATTTAAATTTTCCAAATTTATCAGTTTTTCTATTTAAAAATATGGAAATAAAGGAAAAAGTCTTTCCTTTATTTCCATATTTTTAAATAGAAATGGAAAAGGAAATAAAGCATGCCAGTGGTTCTCAGTTGACGGCATGAATTACATAAAATGCAGTATTAGGTACACTGTAAAAATACAAAATTAAGTAATAAAGTTGGCAATGCTGTTACTAACTAATTTCTGAGATTAGTTTTTCATCTTTAAAATGTTAAAAAAGACAAAATCAAAAAAATCTGATGTGTATACCACACGACTTCCTTGTATGGAATATTAAATTATGCGCAATTTTCCTTTAATTTAATGCATTTCATTTAAACATATTGAATTAACAGTTAACGAATTTTGAATTAAATCTTCATCGATAGCGCAATCACAATAGAATAAATGCACTCTTTAAAGTGTGCTATATTTATTTACCATAGCGACACTTCGGTGCTAGGATCACTTAATGGCATTACATCTCATTCATTTTATAACTCAGAGTGCACAAAAATTATATCATCTGAAGAATCAAGGCATTCTATTAAAATACTATAATAAATCTAAAATGATGTAAAAAAAGAAATTAAACAAATAAAAAAGAAACAAGTTTTCACAGACAATTCAGCATCGCTTACCTAATGCTTATGCGCTAATAATTAATTTAGTTCTCACTTTGCAGCAAGGCAAAAATACATAAAAATTCAAAATATTTTCATTAAAAATTAAAAGAAATAGAAAAACATAAAGCTCCAAGTACAATTAAAATAATTTAAAAAAATTGTACAATTAAAATTACAGTTTCTATGGTAAAAACAAGCTAATAACTTAAATGATAATTCCAGAAAGAATTAAGCATAATATAATTCACAATAATAAAAGAAGACGTTACTTTGTTGTTGCAAAGCTTAGTTTCTCTAGATTGGAAACAAATTCACTATTCTGTCAAGTTTCAAATGTAAACAAACATGGCTGCCATAGTAATCAAAAATTAGACTTAGCTGCCCTTAAAAAACTTTTAAATTGTTGATAATTCCACAATTATTGCATGCAGGTTAAAATAAATAAATACATAAAGGCATAAAAATCTTAACCAGAACAACATAATTCAATCATTTTTAAAGCAAAAAATGTACAATTTACATACATATAAGAATAAAGAAACTGAGGTCACTGAGCCGAGTAACAGAGTGGATCCACTCTGTTACCTTGGTGCGGCTGATTGCAATCAAAATTGGAAGTGCACATCTACATGTTTTAGCAGTTCCATAAGAAAATTTCAAAGTTCTGAGCTACTTGTTTTTGAGTGAAATACGTTCGTACCTACAGATGCCACGAAAAAATCTCTTCAGAATTCATTTTAAATCAGTTTTATAATATTTTTTGGGGGAAAAGACTCCTTTATTCTGTCCTTACCTACACATGTCACACAAAAACATCATTAAATTGCATTCAATGGTGGTCAAAACGGATATTTTCATTGAAATATGATATCCGAAATTTTTCGCGATTACAATACTTCCTTTTTGCTTCATACAAGGAAGTAAAAACAGATTGAATACTCAAAATGACTTACGAGTTTATTGTAACAAAACAACACAACATGAAGGAAATGTTTCAACTTCATCAAACATAACACTCACTGCTACCTACTCTCTTCCCTTTTTTTACATTTTATTTAAATTTTTAATGTTTGAACATTTTATTTTAATTCCAATGTTTCATTTTATTTATTTTACAAATGCCGAACATTAGCACTTAAGATATTAGTTCATGGGCTCTCCAGTACGTTTCAACAGAATACTCACACTGAGAAAGTGCAATACAATTATTTAAATGTACAAAAATCAGAGGCTAACTGAAATCACACAAAACACAGTTTGGGGGATTTATCACTCCAATTCTGTACTGATGGTCTCACAAACAGTCACATCCAGTCAGACATCTAAATAGAGCTATCACTATCTTTCTTGGAAAACTAGGAATGAAAGTTCTTCCCAGAATCCTCATCTCTTATACACATTTTGTTTTTAACAAATGTTTGTATAAGATCAAGATTTATATTCAAATTCAAACAGTTTAAAGGACAATGGGGAGGAGGTAAAATTAGATAATCTCGGTTCAATCGCAAAGCATAAGATTCTCTCTGAGTGGCCTGGATAAAGACAATTTGAGTTTTAAGATTTTTAGAGATTTCATGATAGTTCCTCCAAAAAGAGTTGTTGAGGAAATGCACAACCTTCTGGTATAATAGGATTACTTTTCTCCTAATAAAATCATGAACAGGTTTCAAACAAGTTAAAAGCTGCATTGCAAGAATAGGAGTACATCTCACTGTCTCAGTAATTATGCACAATGCTTGGTTCTGGAAGACTTTGAGGATCTGGGCTACATCGTTGGGAGCCATGATGAGGATCTCGCTAAAATAACCAATAACTGGTTGAACATATAATTTGTAAGTAGTCATCCATGTCTCTTTGTCACAGCCCCATCCTGAGCCAGCCAAATGTTTTAAGATGATAACCAATAATTGATTGAACATATAATTTGTAAGTAGTCATCAGTGTCTCTTTGTCACAGCCCCATCCTTAGCCAGCCAAACATTTTAAGATGGAGAGTCTTCTCACGATTTTATTTTTCAAATGTTCTACATGTTTCCTTCAATTTAAGCATGGATCGAAAATGCAACCAAATATTTAATCGAATCATTATATTGAACATTTGTGCCCTTACATGTCAAATTCGGGGTAAAAGGCCAACTGTTTAGAGTGAACTGGCACATGCTTTTATTCTAGTTTACTCTTATACTAATGTTTCATTATAACTATAGTTTTTTATATCCATATAAATGGCATGCCAGTTATACAGTCAAAAGTCGTTAATCCGGACTCGTTGGGACTTCGACGATTCCGGATTATAGATCATCAGTTTAAATCTGGTAAGATGGCATGCAGAAATTACAAAATTAAAAATATGAGACCGTAATTTATGAAATAAAGAACAATTATGATCTAAAGGGTATCAAAATTTACAAAAAGAAAAAGCTTAATATTTATTTGTTTACTTTATTAAACATTTCTTTCAATGTAAGTTGCTTCATTTCATGTGATAATACTTTCTCTTTAATTCTATTAAACAGACATAATTTCTTGTTTAATTACAAAGTTCTCCTGTTCAAGTCCTATAATTGCTGTGTTGAGAATACCGACTAATTTGTCAATCGAAATGTTTTCGTTTTCAATAACCTCTGGATCACTTTCTTCACTATCGGAAGCGAATTATAATGACGAGGAACTTGATTTAAATCATATCAAAGACGGAGTACATCGAGATGAAATACTACACTTAGTAAGGAATTATAAGCCAAATAAAATAAAAACATCTGCCCTGAAGATAAGGATGGTGCTGACAGATAAACTTCCAATCCGCGGCGTGAAATTGATAAACAGATTTCGGATTTCGAAAAAATACTTTCGCTTTGTAGATACAAATTACATATTAGTAAATATATATCGGAAATTCTATTTGACATAATCGAAAGTTCAAGCTTACTTTTATGAAATTGCTCTAACAGTCTACAAAAAATAATAAGCCGGATCCAATTCGAAGATTAAGGAACAACGCAATCTGCAACATTAACTGAATTAGATAATGTTAGCTTAGCTTATACCGTCCGTTACACATTAAACGAGCATGCGCACAAACATATTCGCAGCCGTAAAGGTTTTACGCGCACTCATAAACGCCTGTGCGCATGCGTCAACGCGACGCATGCGCAGAAAGTTTGTAGCTTTGAAGTCCGGATTATGGGTGTCCGAATTAACGACTTTTGACTGTATATACATACGTAAAGGAGGACCAGTTATATTTACCAAAGAGATTATGTGAAATACAAAAAGTTGAGAATCGTATATTAATTAAAAAACTGACATATAAAGTCTAATATATACTTTACATATGTGCATCACATTTTAAACTGTAATGTGTACTTTTCTTATTTGAAACAATATGTGCTATAGATCTGTTTTCAAAATGATATAATAACGTTATTGTAATACTAACTAGATTTTTAATGCAATTTAAAAAAAATAACCAACAATGATTTTATAAATGAATCATTACAATACGGATGGCCAACCCATGGCCTGCATGTGACCCGCAGAGCTGGCAAAATTAAAAAAAGTTTCAGTGTACAATATACATTATACACAAAACAACCATCTTATCCTAGAAGTTAATCCAAGAGTTAACAACACTGTATTCACTACTTGCTAATGAGATTTGTTAGAAGTAGTTACATCAACAGTGGATTGCTTCTTGTTACAGCTGAACAACCTATTAAGCTTTATAACAGATGGTGCTCCAGCAATGTTTGGAAGCATGACGGTTTAGTAAAACTGGTTCAAAGTGAAGCCTGTAAAGTTAGTAATACTTCAGTGTTAAATTTTCATTGCATGATTCATTAAAAAAAAATTATGTTTTAAGTCTCTTAACCCACCGGGTGGCTCGCATTCAAATCTATTTACGTCTCGAAAACTGCAGTAAAAATTAACCATGTTTACAATTTTTTTTTCATTTAGAGTGAACCAAAATTGTCCTGAAAACGGCCCTTGTTAGATTTTCTTCCCCCCTTCCTTGTCATGGAGGTAGTTCCTTGTTGGGCGATCAACAAGTCGTTTCACTTAAGTGATGGTTTCCTACTGTCCTTTGATTACTGCCTGAGAGGCGATTAAGCAGATGGGCTTGGTTTTGCCCTTATACGGAGGAAGGAACACGTTTTGTGTCCATGCTTTGGTTAGACGAAAAAAGATATTTTTTTCTGGAAATCCAAAACAGAAAAGGAAGTTTTGTATTGCCTTGTTACTAATTTTGTGCATATTTCTGATCTTAATTGCTTATCAGAGCCGTGCCAAGATATTTTTTCACCTGAGGCAGAAAGGTAAATGCGCGTCCATATAAATA